TTGATTCACATATTTGAGTAGGCAGCAGAGTAAGCAAGAAGAGAGGTTTTTTCCATATCTTCAATATGCAAATAGACTTGTGAGCTCAGCTCTCTATTCATTGCTTCCAACATACATGACACAGATGATACTGTTCCCATTGTCACACTAAAACTGGGGGCTTGATGACAAGAAAGCCACTCAGTTTCCATCTGCATAAAGCTGAGATGATGGTTGGATAGGGAAAGGCACTGCACTGGTATATGTCAGCTCCACTGTCTACATCCACAATTTATTAGCTGTGTTTGGGATCTGAAAAGCCACTTAAAATGTAAGTTATTCCTGCATGATCAGCTCTTGGTACTACTTGGTGTGGCCTCATTTGTCACTACCCAGGGACTGGCACCTTTCTCCCTAGAACAGGCACAGGGACTGTGTCTGGGCTGGAGCCAGTGAACAGCTGAAGGGAGTGTTCAACCAGCATGTGACTCGAGAAAAATTTAAGTGTTGAGATTTATTACATATGTATTTACTAATAGCATGGTAGCATACCTGGGTCAATTATTTGGTGGTGGGCATGTGTGTGGGGAGGGGAGCGTGTGCACAGGTCTCCAGGTTCTGTGCTGCTGAACACATCACCTGCTTGGAACAGGATAAGTATTTATCCCAGTGCTAAGGGAAGACAGAAAAAAGAACAAGTCAACCTTCCACAGCGAGCTGATAATGCATTTTCCGCATCAAATTGTCAGCATTTATTCAATTACTTCACTCATTACAAGTGTGTTCTTCAACCACTACCCCAAAAACCCTCCCTGCTGCTGTCAGCTCCATTAGAAGTGACACCTTCCTTCCTCAGGTTAAAAAGCATCTGTGGAAGGCGTCTACTCCCAGCACAGGGCTGGGGAGACACAGCCCTGCCCTGGGAAGGGAGCTCCCCTCCCATCCATGCCCCTTCTCATCAGGGCTGGTGGGTGACACTGGGGCTTCCCATGGGAATCCATCCAGGGGTGGCAGGAGTTGTTTTTAAAGCACAGACACATTCCGAGACAGGGATTAGAGGAATTCACAGGGCTCTGTCAAATATACAGGGGAGATCCCCAGAGCCAAAACTGTATATTCTCCAAACACTTCCATTTTAATAGTAAGTTAAAAAGAAAGTTCCCCTTCTGAGGGGTTGTTAATTATAGATCCCTCCTTTAAACAGTCCTCCTGTTTTTATCCATGCTTACACCCCCACAGCTGGTAAAGAGGAGGAAAGCTCTACCTTCCCCAAAAATCAAATACATCCTAAATGCTTCCTTGAGCTGATTCACTTGGCTAAGCTCCGATTTGATATATGAAACAAAAGACAAGGCAACAGAAAGCAACATATTTTCCCTGTGTCAAGGTGAAGCACTTCCCATCACCCAGCCCATCTCTGCTGGGGTTAATGTGCATCAATAATATTTAAATGATCAAAGTTTCTCAGCAGAGACAGTGATGGGGTTTTTTTTCTGACTTGTCATGCTTGTTTTCCTTAAAGAGGCAATGACCTGCTGTAGTCAAGGCTTGCAGTTTGGCACGCAGGAGCGTTTTGAGAAGCGTTATCTCCCGAACAGAACAGCAGCCTCATGTTTCCCTGCACAACAACCTTTCTTAGCCTAAAATGCTTTGCATCCCATTTCCTTGATCTGGCTAAGTGCTTGCATGCTGAAAATCCCACCCTCCCTCCAGCTGTCCTTCTGGCAGGGAAGAGACAGCATCTTCTCTCTGGAGAGTACAGTCACTGCTCCTTTGGTTATCTAATCAGGGAGGGCAACGTTCACTCGGGGCCCTGCGAAAGCGGCTGAGCTGCAGAAAATGCATCCGAGGTCTTGTGCAGGAGGAGGGAGCTGGGGAAGCCTCCCCTCCCAGAGCAGATGCTCTCTGCCATTTCCCCAGTAGCTTTCACAAAGGAAGAAAAATGTGGAGTACTCCACAGGGACTGAAGCATTCGGCTCTTCCCTCTCCTGCTCACCGGGTCTGTGTGTGCAGGGCACGGGCAGCGCCTGCGAGTCTGGCCCCGAGGCCAGGGCAGAGTGGGCAGGGAGGGCAAGAAAATAAATGTCCCCCACCCACCCTCCCGGCCTGTGTATGCCAGAGCTGGCTGTGGCTCAGCTTCTCAAGGCTTTGTGTGGGTTTTCCAGCATTTCTCCTAACTACAAAATATTTTGCCTCTCTGCCTTTTTTAAAACTCCGTGATTCTGTCTTTGCACCGAGCACAAGGAACCGGGAAGCACAAACCTTCCCATCCTGGTCAAGCTGGGAGCTGTTTTAGCGTTCAGCTTGCTCAGAACAAAAGGGCAGTACAAGGGTGGGGAGATGAGACAAATCCCCCCTGATAAGCACAAGGTTCAAGCAGCCTTCACCTCCATCATCCCCAACATCCCAACCAAAACCACCTATAAGTAATTTCCTCCCTTTTCCTGGCAAACTTCTCCCCGGAGGTCCTGGCGGGCTGGAGAGAGTCACTGCTGGAACAAGCTGTGCTTGTCAAATATCACCCCAGACCCTCCCTCACAAGGGGGTTCCTCTCCTGCTCCTGGGCTCGGAGCACAATTCCAAGCCACGTGTTTCCACCCAATAAAATGCTTACTCACTGGCAGGAGCCACTTTGACATCCTTGGCCGCACATTGCTAGATAAGGACCATAAAAAGAATGTATTGCTATTATAGGTGATACAGCAACATGTATCCCCAAGTGAAAGGTCCTTTATAAGCCTGGTTATTATTCTGGCAGTAATCTTGGATCACCCTCCACGGGCTCAACTCAGCTCAGGCATCAGCGAGCGCGTCGCCACTGTGAACAGGGACTGCGAGGTGCCACGTTTTCCTTCTGTTGTCTCAGTATATCCCCTATCACCCCAAGTCGGGAAAACACTTCCCTCTTTCTTCCACGCATGTCAAAAGCCCCATTTGCCATTTAGATTTAGGGAGCCAAATACAGCCCCAGTATAAACAGGTGCGAGCCCGCATATGTCAATAGAATTACACCTGCTTATAATGGGTTTACATTTGGCCCTTGAGCCCTGGGGATCCCTCTGGGAGCAGAGGCTGTATTAAATATTAAGGGCCTTATTCTCCACCCCCTGCCTATGTTGGAGTAATTAAATCTCGGTGCAGACCCATTGATTTTCAACCGCGCGCTCTCCCCGTGCGAGGAGGGAGCGCTCAGCGCGAGGGAGGGGGCAGAGCTGTCCCCTCGAGGAAAATCACATCCCTTCTGCTCCTTGTGGAAATTTCATCCAGAAGAGAACTACACCCAGCATTAAATATTTGCAGAATGTGCCCGGGTAAAAGAATGCAAAATGGTCCAAAATTAAACATTTGCTGCAACTCTTCCCCATTCCCTCCTGCCTGTGGCAGCAGCACCGCCGGCAGCTGCTTCCTTTGGGCTCCCGTGCCTGTGTGTGCCACAGACGATCTCTTTCCTTCCCACCATGAGGACCCTCGGAGCCAGACCTGTCTGTTTAAGCCAGGAGCTGGGTGATTTCCCATCCTCCAAGCCTGCTCCCGGATCTCCTGCATCGCTGTGTAACCTTGGACAAGCCCCACAGCTGCCGCCAGCCTCCCCAGGGTGTCACGCTCATTAGTTAATTCTGGTGCTTTGCCTGCAGCTAGCGCCTTTTACCTGTGTCTATACAAGTATTATTGCCAGCTTCTGATCTTTTGAGCTCGCAGGGCTGAGAAAAACGACTTTGGTTTTTCCTTAAATGCCACGGAGTTTAGAAGTGTGACGACTCACACTGTGCTGTTATTCTTTCCAATTGAAACCTAATGATGCGTGCATATCACTTAACTCTGATGTCAATAATCAGCACACCACTTGGTCTTTGCCGTGGCTATTAGAGGGAATGAAAATGAAATACCAACTCCTTTTTATCCTGTTACGGTACCATAATAACTAATAAAGAAGTAATAAGTGAGACGTGGGGAATTTCCAGGGGAGTCATTACTAGCAAGCAGACCTAAAGGCACAAAGTGAAATCCAGGAATATTAGCCAGCCCTGGATTCCCAGCCAGTGCTTCTCACTTAAGTTATACTGCTGCTGTAAAGTAAGTGTTTACAGAAGAAGTTAGCATGTGGAAAGTATCTTACTGTGTCCTCACCAGAGGAGTGCAAATTGAGCCAGAATCAAAGACATCCTTGCAGGCAAAGACCACCCCGTGCATCAGCGTCGCTTTTAGGCTGGGCCACAGTCAAGACACAATGCCAGCATTTCATAAATCTCACTTATGCTCCAGAATATGGGAAACGTTTCCCAGAAGAGCTCTAAATCACCTCTGTCTTGTCACAGGATGGATTGTGCGTTTTCCAGGGACTCTTAGATGGGAGAAGCCACACGGAGACCTCAGAGCAGTGGGCCAAAGGAAATCATGTAACAAAACACTGAGTCAATGAGGTTCAAACCACATACAAGCTGGACAATGCATTTTCTGGCTTAGGAATTATCGAATTCTTGGTTAGGAGGGAGCAGTTATTTTTTTTGGAGGTCGTGTACATAGGAGGCAGTGGGGATTCTTTGGTTTTCCTCTCCATAAATGAACTGTCATTTATCCATGGGCAAGACAAAAACCTGTCGCTGCTTTGGCATCCTGTCTCCAGTAGCTTCCCTGTGCAGGGAAAACTCAGACCTTTACCTGCCACAGCTTTATCCACCTTGTCCACAGCTGGAGCCTCCTCTGCCCCTCAGCATGGACTCAACAGAGTTGACCTGAGCAACCCCTATTGCTTCTCCAGCCCCATGCTGGAACGTGCTGACAGACTTTACAGCCTTGCATGTGAATTCCCCCACCCTACCAAAGAAAACCCCAGTTTGGTTAAATCCCAAAGCACATTCCCACCATTATCAAGCATTTCCCAGCCATCTGATTTCCCCATCCCCGAGTTCCTGCTTTGTTTATCCTATTAATTCCAACCACCCCCTCTTCCCCCAACACACACGCACGCAGCCTCATTTACAGCATCTTCGCCAGCAGAAGCCTCCCCAAAATATTCAGGGCACACCAAGCGAGGACTTACACGTGTGGGGAAACCCTCGTGACCGGAGATTTTTTTTTTTTTTCCCCCTCGAGCAAACATGATCTCATGATTTTAATTTTTTATTTTATTTTTTTTTTTAAAGCTCTTAAAGGAAAAAAATAACAGAGAAGCCCCGACGAGCGGCATTCCCGGCTGCCGTTATCCAACCGGGGGCAGCGGGACGGCGCGGATGCTGCACCGGGAGCCGCGGGGCCGCCGGAGCCGAAGGCTCCCGCTCGCATCCTCCTCTTCCTCGGGTGGTTTTCCCTCCCTCCTCCTCCTCCCCCCCGCCCTGCATTTCCTCCTGCACCTTTAAGAAGCCCATTGCCGCCGGTGGGATGGTGTGTGCTAAAGCTGCACAGAGGAAGTTACGCAGCCGGGATCAGGCACGGAGATAAAAGCTCCGATTGTGATTGAAAGTGAGAGCAAAAGGGATTTCAGCCTCGGCATTAACTTGCGAGGGGAGCCGGGATTGCACAAAGCTCCCCCGGCCATCTGCCCTTGGGGGCCGGCGGCGCAGCGCCTGCCCCGCCGCGCTGGACTGGGCTTAGCTGGGCTGGGCTGGGGGGTGTGTTTGGGGTTCCCCCCGGCCCCGAAGTTGCTCCGCCGGGAGCCCCGCACCGCAGAGCTCGCTCCCGGTAAGGACCCGCAGCGCCGAGCACCGGGGATGGGGGGAAAAGGGGGAGAAAGGGAGGCGGAGGGGGGGGGCGGGCAGCGCCGGCATCTGCCCCATCCCCGAACCCCGCGTGTCCCCCGCACCTCCCAAGTTGTTCCCAGGCTTTCCTGGGGTGTCCCGCTCTGTGTCACGCTCCCCGCAACATCCCCATCTCCCCGCCGCGGGATGGGCTTTATTTTCCCACTTCGGAGTTCGGGAAGCCCGGGGGGGCTCCCCCCGCCCCGCCGATTCCCACTCCCAGCCCTTGCAACCCCCCAAAGTCCTTCGGTGTAAAAGAAACCGGGGAGGATGGGGCGGGAGCGGGGGGAGCGGCATCGGGTTTTGCCGGGAACCGCGAATCCATCAGGGAGAGCGGCGGGATGCGAGTGGGATTTACAGGTTTTTCTGCCGGGAGCTTTGAGCCGCGCAGCGTTATCGCGGGGTTCAGGGTCCCGGCACCCCGCGGGGGCTCCCCAACTTCGCTGTTAAGGGCGCGGGGAAGGGATGATCAGCGTGGGAAGAGGAGAAGAACTCCCGCTCCCTGAGCGCGGGGGGAGAGCGGAGGGTGCGTGGGGAAAGCAACACTTCTGAGAGAAAATTAAAAACTCCTCCATTGAGTTTACTTTCTGCTCTTAATTCCAGAGCAGCTCAGTTGTTGCTCAGCGTTGTCCCTTTATTTCAATAGGGTGTTAATCCAATAATAAGAAAAAAAACTGGAGCCAGCTAAGTCAAGACACAATCTAATTTTGTGTTTTTAATACTCCGGCTATCAGTCCCCAGCGAGTGCTGAGTACTCTTCAAAGAGAACAAAGAGCATTGATTCTATTTGTTCCCATGAACTGCAGTTTCTTAATAATATCAGGTGAAGATTTATTTTCTAAGAATCAAACCAAATCAAGCAGGGTGAAACCTTTAATTCAGGGAGCCTCTCTGCCCCGTTTGCAGTATGTTGGCTCATTTCAGAGCAACACTCCAACTATTTCTGCAAAGGGACTGGACTGGCAAAGTGTTGCACCTCAGACTTCTCCCCAGATCCGCTTCGCCTGTCTGGTGGACTGAGAGTAAATACATTTTTTCCCAGCAAATTTATATTTCCCCGGGAATCTATGACATTTAGCCAGCATAACAAGACACTAATAGATATTATAGATCCTTTCTACCTGGGTTTTTCCCTGACAGCCATTCAAGTGCAAAACATAATTGTCGAGGCTATGAAAATAGATCCATAAACTTAACAGCACTGGAGTCCTCATTAAAACTACCCTGCTTGTTTTCTACACAATGCCAGAGTCTCACACTCTCCGCTGTTATCAGGCACTTGGCAGTGACCAGTTTGATGTAATAATTAGGAACTGACTTGTTATAACTGAAAAGACAGCTCTGATGTAAGTAGGACTTATAAACACTGTGTCACACCGGCTTATTATTTTTACTACATTTACTCATAATGTAAAAATAGCAGCCAGTCTATTCTTTTTCTGGGAGTTTATTCAGGTCCAACGCAGCTATAATAGGCTGTTCGTTGAGAGCTGGCAATGAAGCATGAGAGACAGCTTCTCTTTATCTGAACTCATTCATCTCAATCAGCAATCCCTCAACCAAAAAGGGGGGAAAGGGAGATGGCAGCACGGCAGTGTGAAGCCCCCGAACGTGGATCAATGCATCTGTTAACCTGGAGTTTCAGAGCTTTAGCAGCTGAGCTTGATGAGGAGGCAAATGCTCAACGTGCTGTTGAAGCAGGCATCCCTGAATTGTGGAAGAAAAGTTGGGGAAACAAACAGAAAGGGAATTATCCCGAGCTAAATTTCTGTTCTGGATAGGTGCCTCCTGCCTTCCCAGATGAGATATTCCTCCTGAATCTAATGCTGAGAGAGGGTTTGATGCTTGGTTTTTTTTCTCCTTCAGGTCTTTGTCATTTTGTTTTGTAATTACTTACAATTTTTATAGCTCTACTGGAAAGACAACAAAATTGCAGAAATGTTGCTCTAACCTGAAATGAATACTGGGAAGGTCATTGCTCTTTGTATTAGGTGAACCTAAATGTTATTAGGACTTTAAATTGTTTTTTATTAAATGTTATTGTTCAGATAAATCATATGTGGGGATGCTGGACAATGTATCTGTCTCCCCAGCTGTCTTACTTATTTGCTTATCTTCTTAAAGACTATCATTTTGTCTGTCTATCCCTGCTCTGTGTCTGCATATTCTCCATCTTCTAACGACCTATAGCTCCTTCTTGATATTATTTGAAGACCCATTAGAGCTCCTGTTGACCAGCTGCTGTTACAAGGCAGATACCTCAAAGGGGGCAGCGCTCCTTCCTTTCTCCCAGACAGCAGAAAAGCCATAAGCATCTTACTATGGATTGGTTTTTATTAAAGTTGTATATCTCTCTGGTACAAAAACCTGTCTGGTGGCTTGGGAAGCCCAGCTGAGGACTCTGCCTCCTTGGGGACCCCTGTCCTTACAAGTCTTGTTGCTCTGACTGTTCCCCCCTTGCTCCCACCCAATTTGTCTTTCAATTTCTTGCAGGTGCCACCTGCTGATGAGCTTTCCCTTTGCCCTGACCATGAAAGGGAGAGGAGACCTCAGGTAGCCCCATGGATTGCAGCTGAAGGCTTTGGGAACTTGGTGCTCTGTTGCCAAAAGGCAGAGTTGGACAAATCCTCGCCTGCGAGTGCCTCATCACCACCACAGGACACGGCAGGAGCAGCAGAGACCAGCACTGCTCCTGTCAACCCAGTGACCACCCAGCATCCTGCTGGGACCACCACGGCTCTTGACACCTGACCTGTCCGTGTTGACACAGCCGTCCTTCTGGAGAAAGGAATTTTAGCTCCAAAGGGTCCCTCCTGGCAGAGTGGTACTGATGACCAGGTGCTCTGTTTTATTTTATGTGTTGATGTTCAAACTCCCCAGTAACTAAGGCAGACACAGTTTAAGGCACTTTCCACAGCGACGCACTTGCAGCAGACAAGAAGGTTGAGGAAAACCTGATCCAGCACCATCTCACGGGCTCTCCAATTTACTCCTATCAAATTTCATCAGCAGCTCAGAACTTGATCTTTCTATTGATTGACTGGAGTCACCTCTAGATATTTTCATGCTGATTTGGAAGACCTTTCGTACAATAAAAGGGGGGAAAAATGAGGTTAAGGAAGACTTCTGACCACTGATCAGCAACTCTGGCCAAAACTTTCCCAATCAAGTGAATTGCAAAGTTGGCTTCCGTGCCGAGAGGAACTTTCCACATCCAGACACAGCGGGCAGAGTTGGGATCACCCCTGTTACCTCCTGGGTCTCCTTCCACTGGATCATTTTTAGATGAGGAGTTTCCATGCTGATCCCGAGAGCAACCCCTAGCCCAGTAGCCGCCTTCCTCGGGACTGCCGGCACTGCCCTCGCCCAGGGACCCCGCGCTCGGCCGCAGCTGCCATGCTCCGCCTGGTTGCTCTCCTCTTGCACTGCGTCCCCTTGGCCATGGGACAGTATGACATTTGCAAGTCCTGGGTGACCACGGACGATGGCCCCTCATGGGAGTTTTACGCTTGCCAGCCCAAGGCCATGCGGATGAAGGATTATGTGACGGTCCGGGTGGATCCGGCAGGAATCACTTGCGGGGACCCGCCCGAGAGGTTCTGCACCCATGTAAGTGTTTCCCTCCTTATCTGATGGGTTGTAACGGGCTCTGCTGGTGGCCATTGTAAGGACGTTTTTGTTCAGGGTGGCCACAGTGGCTGCTGCCTTGAGCTCTCAGTGTCCTGGTCTGCCAAGCTGGGGGAAGGCATCCTGCCCATCCCAGAGCTGTGCCGAGGAGAAGCCAGTCCTGCAGCAGGGATGGCAGAGGGGAGGGCAAGGAGGGGCTGGGGAGGGCTGAGCAAGTCCTGGGTAAGGTCTGGGTTTTGGAAAGGCTCTGCCCCCAGCGAGCACTCAACCCGAGCTGCTCCAAGCACGTCCCTCTGCTTGCTAAAGCATGTGGGGTGTGCTCACCACTCCCACCCCAAAGAGCTGCTCCAGCACTGGGGTTTTATCAGAGTTATCTCTGAGTAAGAGTGAAGGGCAGGTTGGTGAGGGCCAGCCTGGCCCCTGCACACTGACAGCTCTGGCAGTTGGTCTGACAGCCATAAGTTTCACTGAAATATCTGAAAATGTGGTTCTCCCTCTGTTCTAACCTCCCCATGAAAAGACTCTGTGGACAGACATTTGCCCTTGTAGTTAAAATCTTTAACTTATTTTCTCTTAAATATTAATCATTGCATTTCATTCTGTGCACCACAAAGCTCAGCAGGAGCGTTTGATTTATAATTCACAAGGCTTTACATTGTTAAAGAGTTCAGGGGTCAAAGCAAAGAGCAAAACAGTAATGCCCCCTCTCAAATGTGCCCCAGGAGTGGTCCAAGCACACATTTAAGGGACAGGGACCAAGCCAGCCCATGCTGGCAGGGTTTCCATTGTGGTGAGCACTGGACAAGGAGGTATTCTAAAAGAGTATATTCTTTCTTTATTACCTATAATGAGAAAGGGAGTTCTCCCTCTAATACAGTCCCACTTTCTATTGCCAATGCTATCCAGGCTTGTGTACCCTGTGCCTCAGTTTGCCACCTAGGACATACCCCAGGCCCAACCAGCTCAGGGCACCTCTTGAAAATCCAAGAGAAAAATGCTGCTTTGATACCAAGGGACACCAAACATTTATGACCATCAGAACATGCTGCCAGTAGTTCCCCAGTTCCCTCCAGCCTAAGGGGTCTCATTAGTACCAGGGAAGACATTTCCACTAATTCCAGATAAGTAGCAGCTTTTCCTTTTAAAAGATCGTTTGAAAAGAAAGATTAAGTCCAAGGTTGCAAATAAAACCGTTAACTATTGATGGGTCGGTCTGTATTTCCATTTATCTGACTGGCAGCAGAAGGATTAAAAGGAGAACACCAAATTGCTTTGCACTACACTCCCTGCAGCTCTTTGCAAACCCTTTCTGGTTAAGGATGCTCCAGACTTCAGCTCCACTGACCTCCAAGGAAGCAAAAGGCGCAAACTGAACTGCAATCAGCCCTGCACATCTCTTGAGTCAGTCAATACCGAGCTGAAATCTTTCTATTCTGGGCACCGGCAGTGTTTCCGTGTAGCGTACGCCTGCCATGTGCTGTAACACTTGCAAACACCGTGTACAGCCGTGAATGAGAGCTACACAAATGCAAAACATGGATTTGCCTTCCTGTCCCTGCCTCACCCCAGCCTGGCCCAGCTTTTTGTCTTCCAAAACAGAAACAAGCACTCACAGCCACGTCCCCGAGCAATTCCCTGATGAAGAATCAAGCTAAGAACAGGAATGATACATTGCAATATAATTTTTTAGATTGTTGGGATGGGTTTATGAAATTCCACTGTATTCATGGCCCTTTCCCCCTACCTCTTACATCGGTGCTGTCCTCTCCAGAGGACTAAAGAGCTATAAAAATGAAGCAGAGGAAGAGCAGCTCTGCTGAGGTGAGCAAAGAGCCCACCCAGCACTTAGTGCACAGAGCAGGAGGTGGCTGCAGGAGAGATCCAGCCTTAGGACCGGAGTGGTGTGGGCTGGGAGGCCATCAAGGTAAATTTTCACAGGGAATGACATGTGGCCACTTACTGCTGAGCATCCCCTCATGGTCAGCAGAAAGTGGAATCAGCAAGAAACGGCCCTTCCACCGCCGGTCCTGGGTGGTGACTTGACACCTATTGACAGGCAGGGGGAGGCGAGCCGAGCCCGCAGAGGATGTGAGCCGAGTTTTGCTCCCCCTGCACTAAGGAAGTGCTGGACAAAAATCGATGTCTCTGCCCACCGATCGTTACAACCTCCGAGCCCCGGCCCTGGCTGGGAGGGGAGGGCGAGCAGCTCACACACACCCTGAGCTGCTCCTCGCTCAGCCAGCCCCACTCAGGTGCCTTTCAGTGTCCTGTTATCCTTCCTCTTCAGGTTTTAATTATTTCTCTGTAACAGGTGGGTTCTCATAGGAGCCTGGCTTTCCAGCAGAGAAGTTCTTACGGTGACGATATTGCTTTCTTAGGTGTCTTTCAAAACAGCGGGGTACTGTCCGTGCAGTTAAACTCGCGTTACTCAGAATTAAGCGCAGCCCAGCAGGACGCCTGCACTGCTCAGACAGCTGAAATCAAAACTGAAGACACACAAACACCCCTCCATGCTCAAAGCAGCCAGACAGGAGGGAGCTGGACCGTGTCCCTGGGCAGGGCACTGCTGTGGGCAGGCAGAGGAGCAGAGTCCTGGTGACAGTCAGGACCCTGTCAGACAGTGAGTGTGTCCTGCGAGGCTGTAGCAGCACCAGGAGGCATCACACAGCCCACAGGATCACACACTACCCTGCAACAACTCTGAGCAGTGCTCACAGAGAGTTCTGCACAAGGAGGCGTCAGGGGATGGCAGGAATTATTTGGAGGACATTCTCTTCTGTTTTATAGCAATTCTAGCCACTTCTGGCTGCCTTCTTCTGGTTGGGAAGTGTTTTGCTGCTTATTAAAGTCAAGGGGTTTGCTTTTTCCACAGTTTCTAAACCTGCTCCTATTCATGTCAATGCCTTCCTGGCAGGGTCACCTGAAAAATGAATTGTACTTTCCCTCCTGGCAGGGCAGGGGGAGTGGTGGGAGCAGGAAGACAGATGGATAAGTAAATAAAAGCCTGAATGAATCTAAAAGCGTGACTGAAGACTAATAGGGAACAGATCTTTTAGCCAAGGATGTCGAGGGAGGGGCGAGACTTCAAAGATCACATGCAGGGCACGGCACGGAGCAGCTGAATGTGGGTTTCAAAGGAGAGGGGTTTGCAGGATAAGCACGGCTGGGGAATGGCAAAGCTGCACAGTCTGCAAGGGGCAGAGGGGAGATGGAGTGTTCCTTCACCTTCCCACCCTCCTGGGGAGGAGAGGGAGGATGGCCCAGCTGGCAGGGTGCTCCCAGGTGTCCATGCTCTGAGATGCTGAAGCACTTCTTTGCTGCCGGGCAGGGACCTTGGAGGATTTCACTTCCAAGCGTCAGCGTTTTCCACACAGGATAAAAACGTCCCCTGGTTTTGTGGGGAGTTCACATGTGGGGTGTGCAGTGGGGAGCAAGCAAACACCAAAGCCCTAATCCCAGCTTGCAGTTCAGAAGGTTTCCAAATCATTCTATCAAAAGCAAGGAGGGGTGTCCACAGGAGACGGTCCCCATGGAATGGTTTTGCTGCTCCTTGACGTCCCAGTGGGAGCTCCCTGCACCAGCAGCACAGGGAGCCCAGCCTGCTGCAGGAATGGGGGCTTTTGTTTTCCCCCCCAGAGGTGTCGAGACAGTATTTCTTGTTCTGACAACCCTCTTTGATGCAGGGCCGAGCTCTTAGCCCATATTGATGGGTCAGGGGTATTTTTGTTTGGCGTCAGCATTGTTTCATCAGCTAATAGAGCTTGTTGACTTTGGCACGGGTACATGAAAGGAAAAGGCTTTATTTATTCATTACACATGCAGCTAAATTGGATGTTTAGTTTAATTCTTAGCTAAACTTTTCTGAATGACATGTGGTTATAAGGCTTGTGCTGAAGAACTATTTCTCTTGCTACACTGGGTGCTAAAATTGGAAAAAGCAGACAATCCTTTGGGCACAGAAACCCTTTTCCCTACATTCTTAGCCCACCTCATACAACTCTATCCAACCATATCTTCATAGACCTGTTTAGGTGCAGACAAAGGATTGTGGGTTTAGGGATGGTTAAAAGTAAAGCAGAAGTTTTTAAAGTAAGAAGGAAAAAGGAGTTGCTTCAGAAATGCTCTTCCAGAAGCATTTTTCAAGATGCAGCATGATCTAATGATCAAAGAATGGATTCATCCCTTCTGGTGCCCTGAGCAGAGACCCACAGCCCTTTCCCAGCCCACTGGAGGCGCCTGTGCTGCCCCTGAATGTTGTTTCAGACTGAACCAGGGGGCAAAGCACAAGGTATCCTCAGCCTTTTGACTGCCCCAGGGTTCAAGGACACCCTTTGGGCTAAGCAGAGCCTGTATGCAAGTCAAATGGAAAATCCTTTCCAAGAAAAGCCGATGTTCTGCCTCCTCCTCGAATAAATCAGCACTACCCACTACTGGTTGCAAACCCATCCTCGGCCATAGCAGCAGGCTGGGAGTTGGAGCTCCCCTTTGCCCTTCATTGTGGGACCTGCATGGCACTGAGGATGATCGCTACTTTGCCTTTATACCAAAATTCAGCAGCACAAGAAACTCACTCTCTGCTGTCAAATGACCTAAGACATCTCAGGCCAGGTTGTGGGGACGAAAAGACACATCTTTCTTTTCACATCTACAAAGTGCTAACAGCCCCCCTTCCCTCTGAACCCTCCAGCACATTAAATTAACACCTGGAAAATGCTCCTCTTTCCTTTGAGGAGAGCCTGGAAAAGGCAACTGCTGCCATTTGCACCCGGATGCAGGTTTCCCTAATCCACGCCTTGCACTGTCGTGGCATTGCTTTCGAGCGTGGGAGAAAAAGCTGAAGCCCTTTGGTTCTCTTCCCACCCTTAATCACTTCTCAGCATCAGGGTTGCTGCAGAGGACGCTGTTTGAAGTCAGGATCAGTGGCTCCTTGCCCTTGGGGCCAGACCCTTGGGTTGTACGTTATTAGCAGCTCAGCAAATTAC